CCCGTCCCCACCTCCATCGCGCCTCCGTCCCCATCATGCTCCGATCCCCATTGTGCTCCGGTCCCCCTCGTGCTGCCATCCCAACTGCCATCCCACTCCTGTCCCCATCAGCGGCGCATTCCCGTCCCCGTTGTGCTCCTCTCTTCGTGGCCATCGCACTCCCGTCCTTGCTCTGCTCCCATCACCATCCTGCTCCCAGCCCAGCCGGGCATCCCTCCCTGCCAAATGGGCACGATCCTGGCTGGGCACTGCTCCAGCCCAGCTGGGCGTGGCTCCACCCATGCTGTGCATCACATCCCGGCCATGCATCGCTCCATGCATCACATCCCAGCCGTGCATCGCTCCATCCTGGCCGTACATTGCTCCATCCTGGCCATGCATTGCATCCAGCCATGCATCGCTCCATCCCAGCTGTACATCGCATCCTGGCCATGCATTTCTCCATCCCGGCCATGCATCGCATCCAGCCATGAATCGCTCCATCCTGGCCATGCATCTCTCCATCCCGGCCATGCATTGCATCCAGTCATGCATCGCTTCATCCTGGCCATGCATCGCTCCATCCCGGCCATGCATCGCATCCAGCCATGCATTGCTCCATCCTGGCCATGCATCTCTCCATCCCGGCCATGCATTGCATCCAGTCATGTATCGCTTCATCCTGGCCATGCATCTCTCCATCCCGGCCATGCATTTCATCCAGCCATGCATCGCTCCATCCCAGCCATGCATCGCTCCATCCTGGCCGTACATCACATCCCGGCCATGCATCGCTCCATCCCAGCTGGGACCGCTCCAGCCTGGCTCTGTGTCGCTTTATTCCCGCGGCGCATCTCACCGTGGTGGCGCTGGAGCTTCCCCTCTCTGCAGTGCCTCAGGTCGGGGGACAGGAGCCGGCAGAGCCGGGGGCGCGGGGGGAGCCGTTCCCACGCTGCGGCAGGGGTCCAGGTGGGGGCACAGTTGGGGCAACCGAGCAACTTTCACCATTGTGCCAGAGAAAAGAAGTGAAATTATGACACCCTGTTGCGAAACCGACTTCAAATCAAGGCCAAAGGGGAAGCACGAGCCCTTCTGGGGACAAGAAAAGCCGTCGCTCAGCCCATCACCGCCCCATTGCCCGGCCACCTCCGGGGCCGTGGGCTGCAGCCTCTGGCGAGGAAAAAGATCCAAGAAGTGGCTGGAGGAATCACGCAGCGCCTGGAATTTTTCACGTGGCTGGAGGAGTCACGCAGCGCCTGGAATTTTTCACGT